CATTTTGTTGAATTTGTAAGTTAATTTGAGCACTGTTTTGCCCCGCGGGGCCACTTGTAGCTTGACCATTCATTGGTGTTGAATTAATATCACTGAATTCACTGTGATTTAATGCTTCCACTGCTCTAGCGATGTGCTGCCACGTATCAGGGAAGCCGCTTGAAAACATTGTCACTATGACTGTACACTGATCTCGTAGAGTTTGTAGTCTGCTAACCTTATCGCGCTGAAGTCGCCCGTGAAGCAGAGCACTCGGCGCATGTCCGCTCGCAACCGTGTTCAGGCGAGAACTCGACCCTTGAATTTGAAACCGATATTTTAATTTTGGGAGGTACTTTACAGGAAGGCCGATACAGTGCACACAATGTTTGTCACATTTTACGTTTACGTCACACACACTTTCTGTTTGAGAGTGAACTTCGAGCGAACTATCACAAACCGACTATTCAACAAGACTGGAAAGCATGCATTTTGCAGAGCGAGACCTTGAAACACCGCGTGCCCAGGAGAGTTCAGCGCACCGTTCCTCGACGAGAACCTGTCGGCCGAGCAGAATTTTCCACGATCGTGGCACACTTCTAAAGTAGTCGCACTGTGTATCTTTCTTTAAAAGCCATTTGCTCTTCACTTGCCCATAGATTTGCAAGGTAATCAAGTCACGTATTATCCAGAATCAATTGATTTTTTACGTTGTCTTCATTTTTATCAGGTTGCTTGTTGTATTTTATAGACTTTTGTCGTGTTCTATTTCGGTTTTTATAACGAAGCGCGTCAGGACCTGTCTTCACGATGGAATATCTTACGTCATTTCGCGTCTTTCTCGGTCGTGCTGCTATAGAAGCACAAGTTTGGAATCCCCCTTTTAGGATGAGTTTATTTTCGCGGACTTCCCCCACCACTGCTATATTGTCAGATTTCTTGGCCTACTGCGCGCATGCGTTCGTCGCCCTCTCCCAGCAAGGCGGAGTCATCAATGTCACTGCAGCCTTCGCTGTACATTTCGTTATGGTCGTCCTTAAAGGAACTGTTCTGTAAAGAAACAATAATTTTGCCCACTTCTCCGTCGATGGTCATATTTGTTTTCAGAGGCAGGATTCGGGGGGCAACGGGAGGCAACTGCCCCCTCCCCCATGTTAAGACAAATTTAAAAAAAATAGACATTTCATTTCGCAGATCTTCAAATTTATATTATAAAATATTTACTTGTTTCTGTATTTCTACACAAAATTTAATCCCTATACAGTATTTGAGTAACTGAGAGTGTGCGTGACTGCTTGTGTACGGATCAGTCATTCCACTTCCCATGAACCAATCGAAACGTATGAGGTGTCATTCGACACGACTCGGTCTACTGATGGAGAACTGATAATTTGTTTTCGGATCCGGTCAGAATATTCCAAGAAATTGTCAAAAAGGGTTTTTGCGTGTTTTAGCGCTACTATTTTAGTGGGAATGCCTGGAATCAAACCAATTGCACCCAACTACATCTATGTAGGTTACGTTGAAGGTGTCACGTAAATCTCCAGATCGCCGCGCGGCAGATTTAATTTAATTTGCATCCGTATTAACGTTTTTTTTTTTGTTAATATACTTACAAAATCCTACGAACAGAATAGCCTTATTGAACTTGAACTTCAGGTAAATAGGGAGTAAACCAATCTGTGAGTAATGCTACGGAAGCACATTTACGTTCTTAAGTTCAACTTTTCACATTTACATTCTTAGGCGTGCAAATAACGATTTTCGAATTGTAGTTCTAAAAGATTTTGCGACAGTTTTATCGGAATTAATTGAGAATGATCTTATTAGAGAATAACACTGAAGAGAAGCTTACAGATGTTTTCTTTGTGCACTTTTATACATATTAGCAAAAAAGTAAAGAATATAGCTGAACTAAATTATAACCATTCAGAATCATTTGTACTTGCAAGAATTTTTTCGGCGTTTATAATTTTTAAATTACATTATTACCAGTTCATATTCTCCATGGAGGTAGTATACAAGGCCATGGGGGGATTGAACATTTTTTGAACAGGAATAAAACATTATTCGCTGGTAGGTCCATTCGGTAGAATCTAAGAACTTATTTGAAGTTATGAATGACATAAATTTTCAACAAATAGAAAAACTTTTACAGCATTTTACAGCATTGGCGACGCAACATTCAACTAGACCCTACATAGTATTTGAGTAACTGCGAGTATGCGTGTGTGCGGATCCGTCACTCACGGTTAGATCACTTTCCATGCACCAATCGAGACATATGAAGTGTCATTAAATGCGCCTCGGACTCCGGGTGGAGAACTCATAATTTGTTTTCGGATCGGACCAGAAGATTCTACGGAATTTCCAAAAACGTGATTTGTTTCGGCAAACTTATTAAATATGATGAAATGAAAGTGAATTCAGAGAAAACAAAACTGTGAGTAATGCTACAAAGTAAAAGCACATTTATTTTATTACGTTCGACGTCTCATAGTTACGTTCTTAAGCGTGCAAATACCGATTTTCAAATTAATGTGACTAAAAACTTTAACACCTTATTCACATGAACATACAATAAAGTCCTCTTTTAATGTTTATGTATATTCGTATATGTATATTCTCTTTTAATGTTTATGTACATTCGTCTTCAAAAGGATTAATAGAGAAATTCCAAAAGTAAAAAAGTTCATACAAATTAGACTGATAATGTGGAGTTTTAATCTTTTCAACCATTAGGGGACAAAAATATAGAAGTAGAAAGCAAATCCGGGAAAGAATCGAATGTATTACACACATCTGGTAACACTGGCTGCCTTTCTCAACACATGCATCTACTGGAAAAACGTTGCCCCTCCCCCCTTTGCTCGCACCACTTTTTCGAACAGGCACCCGGAGAGGGGAAAGGAACTCCGTCATTTCTCCGCCAATTAGCAAACGCTGCACTATACGATTGACTAAATTACGTAACTACTTTTCTTTACCACTGCACATCCATCAGCAAAACTCGACTGACCAGAATACCCAGCAGTATCTTGTGATCTTTCGACTTGATTTGGGTGGTCCCTTCCGCTGCATTTAAACAAACACTTCCTTTTAGCTTTATGGGTTACATAATGTGCATCTAGCAGATAATTTCATCACTTTACCCAAAACTTTGTCGCGGGAAGATTTTTAATTGGACTTCAAGAACGAAAATATCCCAGCGACGATATATTTTAGTGCACAAATTAAAAATTCACACATTGTCGTTGACAATTCATTTTTTAGATGCATTTTCACATATTGACAAAATGAAAAAAAAAAAATAATAAAGAAAGATGAAGTAAGATATTGTATCGATTTTTTCCAAAATAATTCCACTAATTTTTCGATATGTTTTAACGGTGTGAATAAAAAGGTGTTTAATAGCCGGTTCCATAGAAATTAGCGTTTTCATTATTTTATCTAAAAAGTAAATTGATTACACATTTTTTAGGATTAACATCGTGTTGCTCATTTTCTCTACATGATCGTTTTTTCTACTTTTGCAACAATCGATTAAGTTACAATGCACGATATTCAAGAACAACCTTGTCCTTAAGAGACCGTTGTGCCTTCACGATGTGAAAATTAGTTAAGGGCAGCATGAAAAAATATCGGTAAAGGTCATAATAAAAGGTTCCCAGAAAGAGGACAAAACTGATGATCTAATGCCACTCATTTTCACTGCGAAAGACAGTTTCCTGCGTGGGCTACAACTGGTGGCTGCGACACGTGATTGCTTGCTTCAGTTTCATGCTTGATGTTGCGCGTTGCCCTACGCCTGCGACAGGAAGCGCGACTGCCTGACGAAACACGGGGTACTGCGCGGGAAAACAGTTTCATTAGCCACTTCCGAAAGGATCTCGCATGTTATTAGGCAAGTAAAATGGCCTACGAATTTGAGTGGGGGCTTCCAACAGTGCAAGAGGTATTGAAGGGTGTCAATATTGCATCATCTAGTATGACAAGCAGGAACTCTTGATCTAGAGAAATTTCGAATGAAAATGTACGAAGCAATTGAAAATAATTGTTTTAAAAGGAGAAATAAACATCTTGAAACTTCCAGTCCCCATATATTTTAATAAAATCATTGAGAAATTATTTGACATTGGATATATTACGCCAAAAATTTGAGCTCCAGAATCTAACCGGAAACGAGTCTATAATACAATCGAGACTTGCAAAAATTCGCCTTTTGAAAAATATATATTGCTTTCCGACAATGATCACTCAGCTACGGATTTTTAGGCACAAAAACTATTTAAAAAAAAAAAATAGTCCTCTAAAAAGTCACTACACATTTTTATCCTTTATATACTAGTGTTGTTTCTAAACTTAATATATTTACCTGAAATCACAATAGCTTGCATTTCATGAAGTGCAAAAAGGTAGCAGCTATCTTTCTCACATTTAAACAATATTTTACATTTTGTTTTAATCATTATGCATAACATGTTAAATATGCACAATTTCTCATTCGAAAATTTCGATACTATGGTACAAAATCTAAGCATGTTAGTAGCAAATTTGAGAATTTTGAATTGCATCAATTCTGCAAATCCAGTTTAAAGAATTATACATGATCTTTCAACATTTTTTTTTATGAGATTTCATAGACTATCTGAATTCAATATTGCACTTCAGAAAAGTTGACTATTTCAAAAGCTTATTGGAAACAGAACCAGCACTAATTTTTAGTCATGATATGGGGGGGGGGAAATTGACTTAGTGATTTTGTTCAAGTTTCACACTTCAAAATCTCCACATTGGTGTCCTTTTGTAAACCTGAATAAAGTTATCAATTATTTGATATATATCTACTCCACAGAATAAACAAGTAAATTATAAAATTATTTTATAAAGGATAATTCCTTTAGACCAAATATGAGAATAGGTAATGTTTAGGCAATCAGACACTTAAATTAACATACTCCCTACGTCCCAAAATGAGTAATTAACTGTTTCCATTGAAGGAAGATGCAATATCTTCAGCTTAATGATTACACTATAAGTTACCGGTCATACAATAATTGTAAGCTGAGAGTATTATTTGGAAAATACGATGAAACTTACATTAGAAACCATACATCAAATACACTATATCATTTAAATGAAGTTTAGGGGAACAAAGAATACAGCAATTTTCCAAATTCCATATACATCTTTATTTTACCAAATGTTGAGATATACATTTACTTTTCAGCAGGCTTTTTTTCGGTCTTGGCTGCACCCTTTCCAACCTTGGGTTTCTCTGCTTTGGGCTTTGCAGTTTTGGGCTTAGTAGTTTTGGATTCTGTTTTTGTGGGTTTGGGTGCAGGCTTTCCATCCTTTGAAACTGCCTTCACAGCCTTCTTTACTTTCCCTACTTGAGTACCCTTCTTAACCTTCGGTTTTGTAGGCACAGGTTTCAATTTTGCTTGATCAATGATAGGGACATTCTTACCAAACCGGCGTTGATTTTCTGCACGCTTAACTGCAGCTTTGAGTATCTTCTTGCTTGCTCTTCCAGGCTTTGTAACTTTAACAACTCTACCAATATGACGGAATTTAAGTGCCACAGGTCTCCGAGCAGCAGCTGCTGCCCTAGCAGCCTTGGCCCTCTCTCTAGGTGTAAGTGGAGCAGCCTTTGCCTTAGCCTCTTTGCCTTCCACAGGTTTCTTAGCAACCTTCTTCTCTTCTTTAGGAGCAGCTGCTTTCTCTTTCTCCAATTTCTCCTTACGAAGCCTCCTGGCACTCTTCAGGGCATTCCTTGCAATTCTGCGTTTCCTATCCTTCTGCAAGATCAATCTCTGCTTCTCAGAAATCTTTTCAATGCCCTGTAAATATGAGTTGTTAATTTAATCCATAAGCATTTAAAAATTATTTGAACTAAAAAAAGCATTTACAGAAAATTTAATCTCAGCAAAAACTAATGACAATGCATAATGAACCTTTAAAACCATATTTAATGTACACCTGTCAAACAATTACACCTGAAGTTAAATAGAATTTGTAAACATGCATGTGAATCAGCGATGTCATTTTTAAAAAACCATTGACTAATACAGATAATTTGAACATTTTTATTAAGGTCAATACACTGAATTGAGTGCCTGAAGTTGCTTGACAAGATTTCAGGTTGCTCACACCATTACCCCTAACACCCATAAGGTGAAGGTTCAGAGAAACTAGAAGCATGTCCCGCAACACTTTTTTCAGAATGTTTTAGTCTCCTTAGAGGTCTGGAAAAAAGTTTTGAAAAAATGGTGATGGGAAGAATCACGATTTATGAATGTTTGGTTTGATATTTTGAATACCAAAAGTAAATTTGGAACTCTCAGGACTGCATTTGGTGTAAATTTGGAAAATGAAATAACTAAGATACGAGTGACAATATCAAAAATGAAAGTTGGAAATATCCATTCATTAATACCTTTCCAAAGAAGTATATTGATTAATATATCATTGGTTGATATTTTTCAGAAAATTAAATATGGAATTGAATATATTGAACAACATAGAAAAAATCAAGACTTATGGAAAAAATTTTTGCTTGTATTTATGGCATGGGTTGCTCAGATAAATTGCCCTTTATATAGGTTGAGATGGTATGTCATTGCAAAACATTTAACTGTATTCACAGAAAACCTGAAAACAGGATGAGTCAATTTCACCTATGGAAAAAGCTGAAGTTCAGGAGGAAACTAAGATTGTTGAGAATATTTTAGAAATAGAGGAATCTCAGGAAGGATTTTACTGTGATGAGAAAATTACCAGCAGAATATTAGTGAAGAAATTGCAGAAGGCAGATAAGTAGGTTGTTTCCTGAAGTCTAGAATGATACTGTGAATTACCTTGAAATAATGGAGTATGTCAAAAAATGTATTTGAAGATTCAATTACATTTAAAGGACAAATGTTTGGCTGTTTATGTAGCATTTCAGTTTGAAAAATTTCCTCCACTTGGTTTGGCAACTAAAAAATTTAATTAGCTGACAGTGACACTGAACTAGATGCAGTTCTCCAAAGGAAAACTCAATTATCCTTCAGAAGAATTAAATAAGGTGGATAACAAATATTATTTCTAGGCTTCAAGAAGTTTGAGACAAACAACCAGGAGCCCTTTTCAGCAGAGAGGATTGTCACCCCTTGATGCCTTCAGGGGCCACCTTACAGAAGACATGAAATAGAGTTGCTAGTTTAAAAACAGATTTAGTAGAGATACCAAGATGCCTGACACCACAGTTGCAAGTCCCTGCTGTGACTTAACATAGGTTTCAAGCACCGTCTCTGACACCAATATGAAGAGAGGCTGTTATGTAACTGCACATTAACTCCTCCTGGCAACAAAATTCAGTTGCGACTGTCAGTGGATTCTAACTGCGTGGAATACTATTTCTGAGTGCATAATAAAAGGTTCTAAAAAGTGCCATGCAAGCAAGTCTGAATGGCACAGAATATTTGTTATGGAGTGAAAATGGACACTAGTTTAGTGACTATGAAAGTGCAGATTATGATTGAGAGAAATTATTAAATAAATGTGGCTGTGGTCAAATGGAAGTTTAATTCATGCACTGTATAAAATATTGATATGCACAAAATTTAAGAATAATGTTAATAAACATGTAATATGAGTATCTTTCCCAATTTTATTATAGAGCAGAAAACTATTTCAGGTTATGAAAAAACAAGGGTCATCTTATTTGGGTGTAATCCCCTCTCCGAATTTCAAGGTATAAAAACACGGCCTGTCAAATTCAAGTTGTCCTATATTTGGGTAAATACAGCATATATGTTGCACTCCATATAATTCATTGTAGCTTTGTTCTCCATGCAATTTCACACTTTGGGGCATCTGGAGGGGAAACTTGCATCAGCACACTGTTATATAGAACTCAGCCAAGAGTAAATAAAGAGTACTTGAAATTAGCAGTTTTCACATTCATAAGGACATTTAACAAGTTGACTGCTAACCACATTCTCATGTATATTATGTACGATCAAAATTACAAGCATGTACAAATCCCTGTAGTTCAATAACTCTGCATTTGCAAGCACTATTATATCATAATCTCTTGACTAATCCTGCATTAAGAGCAATGTGTGAACTGGTGAAATTAACTTTGACACTGAGGAACCAGTAAGAAAAGAGAAACCAGATGTAAGCACAGATACACAAGATGAGAACAATGACTTCTATGACCTGGGGACATTCCAAGAAGATTGAATATTTGGCACACAAAATTAAGTAAATCCCAGCACCAAAAACATTACATTTCTAGCAACATTATATCAAGACAATCAAGAAATGCTCAAGAAAACATTCCAATGTTCAAAATGTGGAGGCCAGTCAATAATGATTACCGACTCAATATCAGGATCAGATTTTAACTGAACACAAATTTCCTTAAAGAATGTAAACTTTGAGACCAAAATAAACCATAAAAATAACACAGGAAAAATTTAAATCTAAATAAATTTTCTTCCTGAGAAATTGAACTGAGGAGTATCATGTTTGTACAAATCAGGGAATTCAAATTACGATCTTAAGCTTAGCTGCTTAAGGGGATTAAGTAATGTGAATTTTTAATTTGTAGATACACAAAAGCACCATTGATTGTTTTTAACATTTGAAGTCAACACTAGACCAGTCTTGTATAAAAGATACTGACAATCACTGCAAGACAAGGGTTATGACCAGAACAGTGAAAGAAGTCAGGGTAATATAAATTCTTTAGGGCATTTAGGCCTTCTGACTTCAAAATCACACTTTTGCATTTCTTATTTCTGTAACATCCACAGCAGATCAAATCAAATCTTTAATCCATTTTAATAAAACTGAGAAGTTAGTAATAAAAATACAAAAAGTTACTATGTAGAAGCAAGTCCATTTCTTGAATTGCAAGCTAATTTGTCCGTTTAACACTACTGAAGGTAAAATTTGTCAACTATGTTAAACAATTTAAAATTTGTTGTCATTCATAATTTTAAATCGACAAAGCAGCCAAAAGCACAAGTAAAAACACTTCATACTCACTCTCTTCTTTGCAGCAAGTTTAATCCTGGCAAGTCGCCTCTTACTTTCAGCAAGAGCAGCAGCTCGTTTCAGGACTGATGCATAAGGATTAAGCCTCACCATTGCTTTTGTGTTACTCAAAGGATTGAGCTTCTTGACACGACGGACCACAAGTTTCCTGTTGTAATTAAGAATAAGTTACATAAAAAATATTGGGAAACGCTTGAATACCCCATGCAGTCTAAAAGGTCACAAATATTTGAATTCAACTAGTTTAATGCAATATGCAATTTTAAAATTAGAACTACAGTAAAAAATACGACTAATGAAGGGCATTATCCTGACCTATACAAACTTACTTGGGTCGTCGTAGTACTTTCATAATGGACTCTGATTTCAAGAGCCTGGTCAAATCCGTATTTGCCATTTTAGGCATGGGTAGGTTGTATCCTTTCTTTAGTCTGGCTGTCTTGCGCCAAGTTCCATACAGAGCATCAAGCCTGTTAAATGCAGACTTGGTCCAAATGACAAATCTACCAACATGGCCACCAGGAGCCAACTTCAATAAATTCAGTTTATCAACATTGACCAAGTCCACACCTGGGATATTGCGGAATGCTTTGGTCAAACCCTGCAAAATAACATGAAAGTGAGTCTTGGAATTCTCTTGTCCTCTATAACTTAAAGAGTTTCTATAAAATCAGCAAATTAATCTCTACAGAAATTCAGAACCCAATGCTCAAAAATATTCATCATAATTACAAATTTTAGTTTTATTTCAAAATCTAAGGAAACTTGCCTTGTCTTCATGGTAAATTATCAAAGGGCCACGCCTCTGAATGCGACGTCTATTACGCATCTTTCCTTTACCAGCACGAAATCTACGAGACTTGTAGACCTGAAAGAATTAGTTTGTGCTTTAACCTGGACAATTACTCTTAGAAGCTCAGAACCCCGCAGATGTTGGAATGATCTGCATGTAATTACAATTATGTCAATGTGTGGAAGCACTTTTTTTAGATTACTAACTTACCTTCTCAATATCAGACCATGCTTTAATGCGACGCAAGAAAATAACTGCCTGCTTTGTCTTGCTGTACTCTTGCACCTTATCATCAACTACAAGAGGAATTTCGGGTACATCTTGAATCATATGACCTACAAAGGAAGAGTTAAAAGAAAATTTAAGTATACCAAGAGGATGACCACTGCTCTTTAACATCAATTTTCCCTGCATTTACCCTGTGTAATTTCCATTCTGCATTAATTTGTTAAGGTGCAGCACACTAGGGTGTTTGTCAACCCTAATTCCATAGTCATGAGGCAAGACACACTCAAGTTATACACAATAGTTCGCAACAATTACAAGTTTCAATAGTAGACAAAAATTACCTTTCGACATAACTAAAGCTGGAACACCACTAGCAGCAATAGCAGACACTAAAGCATAGCGTTTCTGATTAACATTGATTTTACGATGCCAACGTCGCCATGGCTTGGTAGGTGCAAACATTCTACCACCACGGCACATATTTCCAAACGCACCCTGGCCGGATCTGTGAGTGCCACCACCTCTTACACGAGGAATACGAGCAACAGCACGTCCAGTTCCCCATGATTCAGCACTTGTTTGATGGCCTGAAAATTATCCTCTACAGACACTGCCACCAAATATACAATGCATACACTCCAATAAAAATTATTCAGCAATGATAACTCATCAGAATTCAGAACCCAATGCTCAAATTAATATTCATCATTCAGCAAACATAATCACAAATTTTGACATGCAAAAGAAAATACCTGCATCTTTATTAACACAGTATGGCTGACGATGATTCTTTGCCATATTATCATGAACAAAGTTTACCACATCAGGCCTGATGGGTGCTTTGAATACCAAAGGCAAGGGAATTGTTCCATTGGCCTCATTTTTCTCGCTATGCACACTAATTAACGGCCGTGTCAATGACAACTGCAAAAGAAAATTTCAAATTTTACACAAAAATTAAAAACTGTAGAGCAACACTTCACCAATCATTCAGGAAATACTCGTATAAGGGATTCCACTGAAATGTCACAGTATATGATATGTGCCAGCTACAGTTACGGAATAGTCACACGTCAAGTATTTTAGTATTAAAATGGGCCTGAAATTAGGCATAGCAGAACATTTAAGTATTTAAGCAGTTTCAAACAAATTGCTAAGCCCAAAAGCAGGAGAGTCACTACCTCAACAGTCACAACCTTCTCGAAACCCTGCAGAGCTTCAATTCAACCACTATCTCTCAAGCCTTAGAAACTTCCCACCAACAGTCTCATGCCCATTTACAATGTATCAACTATTCCTCATCTAACCTACTTAGCTTACCCCAACTAACATGTTGGCTAATTTTAACATTATTCAGCGTAAGTCACATGCATGCCAAGATGAACTTAATCTACCCATTTTGGAAGTGAACATAAACTGCCTAATTCCTGGGCATTAGAAATAACTGCTGACACACAATCTAAAGAGACCAGAAAGGGTACATGTCTTCACCTTCTCAACACACTGGAAATCTTTTCTTCACAGAACACTCGTACCGCTAAGCATGGCTTATTCACTCGTACCGCTGAAGTTTGTGTCTCGCAGACAGCAAAACACCAGTTTTAGAGCTTTTCTAGCCACAACATATACAACTAAACACTCTAGACCATCTTGCCGGATTTATCCCAAAAATATTTTCAACAGTACTGTTATGTTAAATTGTCTCCAACTTCCATAAAAGCATTTATTGTAGGCATTTGGCCATATTACACCCAAATATAATTTCTCTGCATAGTGTATATCTATGAATTTCTATAATGTTCAGCCTAACAAGGTATAACAAGTTTAATTATCAAAAATTACATGAGAAAGCTGGTTTCAAAAAAAAATTGTACTATACTAAAAAGATTGGACCATACTAAAAAGATTTCATTCACTACAAGAATCTCTATTATTGTAATTATGCAATGTTAATTTTTTGGTGCATTTGAAGAATTGAGCAAAAGGAGATGAGCACTGTGCTTTTAAGTCTAATTAGCTCCATTTCAGAAAAAAATTGAGAAGGTTGTTTTAAAATTGCATGATACCCACAAAATTACATGCAAACTTTCATATTAGCAAAAATATTGTTTATGACCTTCTTTACAGGTTTGAACAGATTTCATTAAAAAAAATTGATCATTGCTGTAGAAGTCTTAGAAAAAATTTTGAACTTCTCAAAAATTGCGAACTCAGCTCAATGTAAACAAGAGCTGTGTCCTTGTTTGAGCACATTCTTCTCTATCCAAGGAAAACAAATCCAAAAAATTTCAAGCCATTATCAAGAAAATTTGAAAGCTCCACGTAAAGTATTCCAACAAACAAGTTTGGCATAATCAATCAAGGAATATCAATTTTGGAAAGATTTGTTTTGACAGTTTAGGCACTAGCATTGACCACAATGACAAAGATATGCAGTCTACCAATTTTGCAGTGCTAAGGAGAAATAAAACTTCAATTTTGTCTACATATTGTGTTAATGATGTAATTTACTACAAAGAATCAATTCATCTGTACATTATTTTTCAGTATCAGGACCCCACTGCAAGTTTTGCTGCTAAAAAGTCACCACTTTCCAATAGAGGATCACAAGACTTGCTTATTAATATACAAGTATGTAGCAAGAAAAGTAAAAGAATTAAATAAATTTCTAATATTAATTTCCAATCCTAAAAAGTTAACAAAAACCGATGCAAGTGCAACATAGCAATGAAAAGCATATTATGAATGCATATGCATACTTCAATATCCAAAACGTACTGGTGAGTAGTCTAGTAAAATGCATCGAACAATAATTGTGAATATTCTTAGATCAAGAATATCCCATGCTTAGGCTCACAAAATGTGCAAACAGTATTAGTTTGAACAGTTTGATATTTTCAACTTTCATAAATTCCAGGATATGCTTTCAATAGAGCCATTTATCATATGCACAAATCCACAGAAAGTCAATTCACTGAAACTCCAAAGTTTTTTTGCAGATTAAAAGAGTAAAAGGAGAAAAATGAATTGAAATAGTTTCTAGCATTCTTGAAATTGGAAACCAAATCAATCACTTCTCCAGCCCTAATTTCTCAACTTAACTGCAGCAAAATAACCATCAATGATTGTTTCTAACTTTCAGCAATTAACTATTTACAATATCAGTGAATTACTGGCAACACTAGCACCCGAAATTGAGAAGTCCAAGTTTTTCAGCTCAATTTACAAAATACTGCTTTCATCTTTCCAACAAAATTAGGAATTCATTTCAATATAAAAGAAAAACATGTTCTGTTCTCTCCACAACTCCCACAAATTGTTAAGTAAAGAATCTAAGCCAAGTAATTGCTCAGACAAACAATTTGATAATTTTACTGTTCTATAAGCCAGGAAGATCATCAGACGCACCTGTTCACTTTTAGACAGCCACCAATCCACAATTTTACAAACAAAATTAAATACTCTATGACTGTGGTGAAGAGGGTAAACTAGGGAAAAATATAACACATAGTATTAAAATGAAAATTGGCCCAGCTTTATATTTTCTGAATTTTTACCATTAATATGGGCTAAATGTTTTCTCTAGCTTTTTAAAATGTACATATATGCAACTGATAGGTATAGACAACCAGAAAAAAAAAAAAAAAAAATCCAGGCCTAGAGATAATGAACATCAACAAGCAGTAGGCCCATACGCCTACAGTTCATCATAGATATTACATTAGAACTACAAGTTTTATTTTACTTGCAATTGCGGTTAGTTTACACAGTTAAGATACAATCAAGGGCAGTATTTTCCCAACCTTGTGCTTAATAAAAAGCCATGTTGTATCAGGATTTGTATCAATTGTTAGGCTATTATTAACCTCTCAATAGAATGTTCAACTTCCAGACAAGAAATCATGAGCAAAGACCACAACTGAAGATCAGTGTAGAGAACTTCATGGACTACTGAGAACTTTCGTAAGCCCTACACACTGGTATTAACATTTAACTTGGTAGTCAAGACATCCAATTGCAACAATATATGAAGAGAAATTTTAACGCAATCTTAAATATATTGCAAAAAAATTTCCTTTCCAAGATTGCACATAAGTGCAACAGTATGATTTATATTTTATTGATGAGTAAACCCAATTTCTTGCATCTCACTACATTTCAAGATCCCTAATTGAAGTTCCACATGTAACAAAATTAATGAGAGTCTGATAATTGAATTAAGTGAGCCCAACGGTCCTGGCGGAATCGTTTTTGACTCTACAAGGTTTTCAGAACAGTATATTCCTAACACGCCTTGAACAGCTGGCACTGCTTGAATTAAGTAATCAGAGTGTGCTGGAAGCCAGTTACTGCAGTTTCAGTTCCAGCTGTACTTTGTCATTGTCTCTCCAATGAACTCTTGTCTGATGCTAATTTTCAATGATGGACACAAATGTGAACAAACCCTTGTGCATTTGAAAATATCACCCAAACTTAAAGAATTTTGTAGAGATTCCCCGGGGTCGTTGAATCCGCCAGAACAATGGAAGGTTAACACAGCAATTCACAAAACAAAGTTGTAAAAATATAAGAATTTATATCGGGTGATTAGCCTTGACGCTAGCAACTTTGACCAATTGCACTATCGAAGTTGCGAACACAATGGCCAATTCAATGCTGTCAAAATACAGCATTTAAACTCGATGCAACAAATTATTAGATGCACGAACATTGGTTGATTTGGACACAGCTAATCAGTTAAGATACACACGCAGGGTCTACTCTCGCTTTGCAACAAATATTGCAAGTTGGCACATCGTCACACATCCTTACAATTTAAATAATCGAAACTATTCAGAACAAATTCGCTCATAACTAAATACGAAAGCAATCAGGATTCTCTTATTTCTAGCAATAGTGTGCCATGTGGTGCAACGACACGTGGAACATTGACAAGATATCATGTAAAAACCTATATAGATTGCACTGATTTATTCAACCTTGCAATAATAATCAACTACTAATTTCAGTACTCTTACCATTTTGCTCAGAGAGTCCGAAACTAATATTCAACCACAACACAACATCAATCCCGTACGCTTCACGGGACCATCCACCTTAGAAAGACTTCCACCGAGTGCTCACGCTTCCGGAAACCAAAGAGAAGTAAAACAACGAATCCCCAACATACCCGTAACGGTACTGCCACAACATCCACACGACACAAGAAGATAAATTAGATACCTGCTACAACGAAATACATAAATCGGGAAAGGCCTCTGTCTTTCCAATTCCCCCAAAAATTTAAATAATTTTTATTTGACGTTTTATTCAGTAATAAATATTTTATTAGCTTTTGCATAAATAATAACTGAATATAGAGTTACGGGAAGAGGATGATGTTCATACTGTCGGAAAGAGGGGCTTACAAGTCTATTTTCAAGGGTTGCCCGGGAAATCAAATTCTTTGTATCTATAGCAAAATTTTCAGTATTGCTAGGTTCATTTCATATTTCATTCGTATTTTGACAAATGTGCCTGTTCTAGAAAGCAGTTTTGTATTGCACACGTTGACTTCCTGATAATTAAAACGATAAAAATATGTGAGTGGAAATACATATTCCACAGTGAAGCACACTGCCAAATTAAGGTGTCGGATTGAGGACTGATCAATCGTACGTTTGTGGAGATGTGGAGGAAGTACTTTTTTTATTTAAATTTGTATATTTAACCCACCCACCCGAAAAGAGTTTGACGTATTTTCCACGTCTTTTGAATGACCTGTACTTGAATAGCCTTAGAAGGAGGTTACAATTGTAATGAAAGCCTTGGAAAATTTGTGAAACCAATCATTAATAATGTTCCTCTGTCAAATTAAGCACGGACTCTGCCCTCATGTCACAAGGCTCTATAGACAAGGTATACTTGCTTGTTCGGATCATTTTAAGAATCGTCAATTTTGTGGTGACAAGGAACCATCAATATCATCAGTAGGTTCAATGAGTTTTGTGTCTCGACGGTTTTTCTACAGCTCAAATAATTGTTGGTTTTGGGAAAAAGATATTAAAAGTGGGTATGGATCTAAAGAAAAACATTCACGAATTCAAATGATTCGTGATGGACTCCAGGAGTTGCGTAACGAAATTGGCCTTTGGAAAGATGAAATTACAGAGAAACTGCATTGTGATCCAATCGTGTGTTACAGACCAGGTACAGTGCATATCATTTAGAAGTTTACAATTTAATTTTGGATAACCGAAAAATTATTACATATTGCATAACAATGATTTAATTCAAAATTGTTTTCAGGTGAAGTTGATGTTATGTGGAAATTTGACAATCCAGAAAGTCTTTCTCGATGGGTTGCAACAAGTGATTGTGATCATGGTGAAGGCTTTAGTAATTGCAATTTGTCCATTACTTCAGGAAAGAAATGTTTATTTTCTGGAACACTGAATACAACTGTACCAAAAGATGGACGTATAAAGAAAGCTGGATATTGTAATATGTCCTGTCATCGTGCTAGGGTATGTTCAATTTTTTCACTCTCTTGCTTTGAAATATTGAATTAAATTAATATTGTAAATAATTTCTTTTATTATTCAGAAATCTTTCAAGAGAGAAGCATATTTTGAGTGGAATCAATATACACATATAGTTCTTCGTGTTCGTGGAGATGGTCGTAGCTACCTTCTAAATTTAGCAACTTCCGGTTACTATGATATTATGTGGAATGACATTTTTCATTACGTTCTGTTCACAAGAGGTGGTCCATACTGGCAAATAACAAAAGTATGTTTATCTTTGAATTTACTGTATAATATTGAATACTTGTAGTATCATCATTAGATAATATTTTTTATATACTCTTTCATTGTGTTTTGCAGAATATTTTTGATATACCATATAACAATTTTCATGTAATTTAATTCCCTTTTAATTTGTGAATTTTTGCAGATACCTTTCTCAAAATTCTTCTTAGGAAGTAAGGGTCGTGTGCAAGATAAGCAATATCCAATTCCTTTAAATAGAATTACAAGTCTTGGAATTTCTGTAGGTGATGGTATCAATGGCCCTTTTAACCTTGAAATTGATTACATTGGTCTAGAATTTGACCCCACTCATCAAGAAAAATTTGCTTATGAGATGTACAGAACAGACAATTTTATTGCAGGCTATTAATGAATGATGTTATGAACTTCCTTTGACAAATAATGAGATAGCACTCTTATTGGTTGTTTTGTTTATCTTGCTGTGTTGGAAAAAAATATATGTTCTAACCAAACTGAATAAAAGCAAAGAATGAATTGATAACTGATATTATATTGCCAATAAGGCACTATATGACTACCGTTACTGATGTAACGTATTGTACCTAGTCTAATAATGCCATTGTACAAGTATTGCACATATTGCTTTATCAGCAAAGAGATTTCTTTTTCTGTACAACGTATTGAACAGGTGTTTTTGAAATTTTTTTAGTAAAAAAAATTTACTATTTTAATTTTAGTGACCTTTGTTACTGGCATGTGTGTCTCTTCAATTAATATAGTATTTTTGTTATCCTTTCCCTATTATGTAAAGGTTTATACCAAATTTCCTTGGTTACATGAATAGAAATGTGAGAAGTAATATGGCCCTTAAGTGTTTAAACTGATGTCAGCGATGTTATTGAAATATCTTTGTTATTTCACAGCTTGAAGCATCAGCGACACAAGTTATTTTCCCACACTTCTTTGGATTTGATATATCACTAATGTCTCTTGGTTTATAGCCAAACGGTTTATAGCCATAAATCTTTTATTTCAAGCTCGTCACTTTGCTCTTTTCTTACAACATTATTTTAAATAGCCTTACAACATTATTTCAAATGTTCATGGAATATTGAATGTATGCTGATCCCTGGTCCTTGATGGAGCTTCATCACCAAAAATTGAATTAAGTTCATCCATGCACTGTTGCTGAGTTAATCCAAGTCGAAAGTTGTAAAAAATAATCGCACAAAAATGTTCATGAGTAAAGGTTTAAAATAAATAAAAAACGTGCGATTAGCGACATTTCAAAACTAGGCATTTTTGTTCCCAAGTTATAGAAAACTTATTTGCTAAGGTAAACGAACATCAGATTTTATTTTCTGCATTGCCAACTAAATAGTAAATCACCCTTACCTCTACTCCCAGCACTTAAAGCAATTGGAGAGTTCAACAAAATGTGCATATAATGAAGCTACATTTATGTCCAGATGCAAAATTCTGGGCCATCTCAGCTTTTGCTCAATGGATCAGGGAAACTGGACTAAAACCTGATCGAGATAGGGTCATTGGCCCGGAAGCTGAAGTACATTATTTGTTACAAGCATATTAAGTATTTAAAAAAAATATACAATACAAATGTAAAATAATTCAATTTATCACTGTTTTGCTAAAATAAACATTATTTTTACTTTTGATGATCAGTATATTCTCTAATTGTATAGAAACATTTTTGCAGCAGAAAATAGTTTTCTTCTAACTTACATTTGTCAACCAACTTCAATTGTTTAATGTCATCTGGCAATGCGTTGTAAAGTAACATACATGTTTTGCGTGCGGATTTCTGATAGTGAGTTGTTGTTACTGACACTTGATGAACATGATTCCTACGACGTGTGTTGTGATTATAAATATCAGTATTGCATGAAAACATATTCCCATCGTTATGTAAGTCACGTTTGACAAATATTACAAATTGGTAAAAATTTAGGCAAGGCAGTGGTAAGATTCCAAGCTCAATGAAGAGAGACTTGCAGAGATCACGTGGATGGCACTTGTTCATTATTTGAATAATTTTCTTTTGCAATCTAAAGGCACTACATGATGAGTTTCCCCAGAATTTTATGCCATATTTCAGGCGGGGATGTACATTTGCAAAATATACGCAACGAGCTGCATGAAGGGTGATAGAATTTGAAAGAATTGTGAATGCGTAACATAATGAACTTAATTAAGTGTTTAATTTTGTTATATGTTTTTTCCATTTGAGGTTGAACTGAATTGAGAGACCTAGAAATTTTGTTAACTGAACATCAGCTAATTGCATATTGCTCATTTTCAATGGAGCATGCGTTTGCTGCTTTGAAATGTAAAAATGCATCGAATCAGTTTTTCCTTCGTTAACTATTAATTTGTTATTACAAAACCAAATCGTACTATTTATTGTTTCTATTTTTCAAAGAACATTCGGGTCATCGGCAAACAGAACCGTTCTTCTGTTTTTAATAGACAAGGACATATTGTTTACGTATAACAGATAGAGGATAGGACCTAAGATTGAGCCTTGCGGGACCCCATATTCAATTGGTAAATAATTGGAAAGATAAGTAAATAATGTCCATACGTGCCAATGCGGGAAATTCCCTTTTGCACCAATAATGTCAATAATGCCAATAATGTCCTTTCGTGCCAATACCAATACGGAAAAGTATGTGCCATTTTGTAGCACCATTAGTTTCCTTTAGAATACTAGCAAATAGTCTAGCTATTGATGGGTTGACACTTATTCCTATGTATTTTTCACGAAGGGTTTTGTCACCTTTATTATGTATAGAACTGATATACGACGTATTCCATTCTTGTGCAATTTCGCCACTAAATTTTGTTTAAAAAGTTTTTGACTTATTCAATTGTACTATAACCTGCATATTTTAAAAGTGCCATTCTAAGGTTACCTGGTCCTGCAGCTTTATTGTTTCTAGCTCATACCAAAGCAGTTTTTACATCAAACCAACTGATTTCAGGTGCCCACACATGCCAATGTGTGCATTTCAAATCGTTTTGGTATTCAACTCTATTTTCTTTTAATAATTTTCCGTAGTAATAAAGCCATTTTGTAGGAGTTATTATTTGTACTTTACTTCTATTACAATTTTCCTCGTATATTTTTTAATTTCCACGCTTCGGTTGATCATTTATATTCCATTGTACTATCTATATTCATACATAATCTCTCCCAGTGTTCATTTTTTCAGTTTTTACTAATTCTTTAGCTTCTTTTCTCTTTCCTACTCATTCATTTCGTGTTTGGGCATTCCTATATGAAATCCATGACAAAAGCAATATTTTACTTTCCTTAATCATGCTTTCTAAATTTTCGCTGAATTTCTTCATGAACTTGCCTTTTTCTCATTCCACTCCTTGAGCTTGCTTAGCTGCAAAAACAACATCTTTTAAGTGATATGACATTTCTTTAGGATTTTTCTAGTTTGAGCTTAATTCTGTTTTGGTAAAGCATTTTTACACTATTTATCTGTTTTAGAATTTCCTTTTCTTCTTCTGTCCTTTTGTTCGATTAAAAGACCAATATCTTTTACAATAGATTTTCGTTTACTTTGAAAAGGAAATACATGTTTGCTCACTACCATATGATGACCGGTTCCACATTCTGGTTGACAGTAAACTCTCACATCATTAAGTTTTACTCTTCTTTCTTTCATTACCCCAGCTAAATTAATTACTTATTGAATATTACTTACTGAATCTATTTCTATTCTGCTATATTTGTGGATGTTTTTTGACTGAAAATGGTATTCATTACACATAGCGCATGCTCCTTACGTAGGTTTATTAATCTTTTCCCATTGTCATTAACAGTCTCCTCTCTAAACTGACCTATTTCACGTTCTCTGTTACCTACATTGCTATTAATATCCCCAATTAATTGAATTTCATTTTCATTGGTAATACTTGCTATAATTGCACTGAGATCATGAAAAAATACTTATTTTATTCATCCACAAGAGCATTGACATTTACCACATCTATCCCTAAAATAGGCATCTGATGACTGAAAACGTTGATGTCTATTCTGAGTATCCTTTCATTAATATGCTCTATTTGTTGAATGAATTCCGTTCATTTACGTTAAATAAGGAAAGAAACTCCACTTCTGTCGCTAAAACCTTTGGGCACACTACATCAGACGTGAAGATATTCATTCAAAACTTCTTCACCTATCCCTTTCTTCTTCGTTTCCGTAAGAATAATTATGTCCAGGTTTATTTTTTCAATTTAGGAGATGACCTCCCTCTGTTTTATTCCCAAGCCTTGAATATTCCATGTACCAATATCCATTGCCCATTTCCGTAGCGTTTGTCGTAAATTTGATTTTGGTCCGGTCCGAGGCATATATAAATCGCTTTGAACTGAGACTTTTTTACGCAGCACTTGTAACGCAATCTTTTCTGAACAAAATTATGTATGTTTTATATGTGTAACATTTCAGGAAGTTAAAAAAATTAAACATTCGTGTCATGCGGCCTACATGTCAAATTTTAATCCTTTTAATTTCTTGTTGTACTGAAGATATTTCGATGAGTGACGGGGAGGACGGGCGTTAGTAGCCTGAGCTCTGAAATTCAGTGCTGTCAGCTAGGGAATTAGTGATAGGGTTGAGTCGTCGACAACCAGAATTGCAGGATGTGCCAGCCCTGCGCGTAGTGGAGATCGAACAACTTTCCTCCAGCAGCCAGTGTCAGCGCTTCTGAAAGTGCGCCCCTCTATCAACGTCTAGGCACCTCCAATGCAACCCGGTGTTCACTAGTTGAAGGTTCCAAAGTTGTGAGCGACGCCGCCGCCACGAATGGCGCGCTCTGAGAGCCAAGTGGGCACCGTGTATGCCGCCGGCCACTTGACAACTGGGAAGACCAGCTGCGTAAATGCAAGCGGCACCACACCGGCCGCCGCCACCACACCACTTGGTGACCTTCCGTCGCCCTGCACTGCAAACGCGAGCCTACTGCAAGCCCGTATTGTATCAAAGAACCGCCCTCGTCCACACCATCCTGCAACCCCGCCGCCAAGATAACTCCCCGCGGGTGACTTGTTTCCCGTCCCAACAAAGCGGCAGGCAGCGGGAATCGCAGTCCAGGCTGCGGGTTCATTCCCGCATAGTGCAGTGGAACTGAGTGCCTCCGCCTCCACCTCCCCCACGGCTGTGGCTGCTTACGCTACATATGGAGCAGTCGCGGCAGCTTCCAGTGCCACGAGGGAACACCGAAAGTACCCTGCCTTACTGCCCTAGTATTAAACAGTCAGTACGAGCGTGGGCCAAAGGGAAATATTACAGTGGACTCCAATTACAGTCAACTTTTGGGGACTAACATTTTTGGTTCACCATTTCAGACGTTCACTACATCCAATAATACCAAAATGTAATAGAATTTCTCCACAATGATTGATTTTATTAATATAGAGAGTAACTTACCCCCTCTTCGGGTATGAGCTTCCTCCCAAATTATTAGGCGGACGACTGGAATCTACCATTGGAATAGCCCTAGTTTCCTGACGTCACCCCAGGCCGCGGAGACGTCGGGGGTCGGGGCCATTGGGTAGACTATCAAGAAGTGGAAAAAGAGACACGGCGAACCCGCGTCGTGTTTCGGCAACGGGCAGGGGGATCCACACGCGAGCGCAGAAGACTGGCAACCTCGGTGGAGTTGGAAGTCCACCCGCTTACCTATTCCCTCCGTAGCCGCGTTGTCAGGGCCTATGGGCTCATGGTTAGCTGGGCTCAACGCATGCGAGGGTATTAGAAAGCCACATGACTGGGTTGTGAAGCATTGTGCGTTAAAAGAGTCAGCGAGCAGTCCGAATGTAGCCAGTAAGGTAGTACTTTGCAAATCAGAAGCTATAAATGAAGAGTGTTTAATATTCATTTATTAGTGATTTCTTCCATAAATACGTTATATACGCAGAACACAGTTTTAACGAATAGAAAGGGGGGCTCCGCACTTAGAATTAATTGGATACAATCACCAGACCTAGTATTCCGGTGTACCCGCACCGTTAGAGCTTGCTCGTGTTAGGTTCCACGCCACAATGACAGCCGGCCGGGTGAGCCAGTCGTTCCAAAAATACTTCGCTGGTGTCCACCTCGCCAAAGACTCCTGGGAGCGGTAAGCGGCCGGCGGATATCTTCTCCACTGCTAAGGGGGGGGG